CCCGGGCAAATCAAGTCCAATTAGCTTCTTATTCTTTTTATTTTGAAGAATTAACCTAAATAACCCGCCACCCAATGGCTTAAACTAAATACGACTGGTGAATATATAATACGTGCATAATCTATGTATTATATATATATTATTGTATATTATTAATACATAATTTAGATATACTTGCTAAAAAAAATAAACACTAAATTCGGCCGACTATTTGTATAAAAATCGCTTTTGTTTTCTAACAAACAAGGCAACTACAAAAAATTGAATTTATGCAAAATGGTTCTCGCTTTTTGCAAGAGAAAAACAGGATTTAATCAATATTTAATTTAAAAAAATATGTAATTTAAGCTTCAAAAATGACCAAAAAATGAATAATTTATTAAAACATTTCGATTATTTTAGTTGAAAGTCGTGATTAAAATACTTCTGGCATCTGATTTTTTCTGTCTGTTCTCTTCTACATCTATATATTGTTAATGAAGAGTGTGAGCACGTGATTTTTGCCCTATGTATGAATTATTCCCAAAAATCAAACAAAAAATGATTTTTCCTTATTTTTACAACTTTTGTGAATTTTGTGTCATTTTCTGTTAATTGTCTGCATTTTATTTGTGCCTGTTAGTTCATATGAAAATACAAAAAAATACGCACTTGCATTTAGGGGATTTAATTTCATGATTTTAGTATTAACTAGGTATTAGTTAGTTCTAGAACAAAATTAAAGAAAATTGCAAAAAAATAGTTTCTTTGCACTTTTAATTGTTAATTGTTGCATTTATCTTAAATAGAGTTTTAATAATTCTAGGAGTTAAATAATTTAATCAGGTCTTTGTTTTGTTTTAGCATTTTATAAAATAGATAAATAAATATAAAAATACAAAAAATAAAATACAAAAGCAAAATAAAGAAAATACAAAGAAAACAAATTGGTCTCAATAAAATCCCCAAATTGGGCCAAAAATGGTTTAGCCCACCCCAAAAAAAACCCCTCAAAACCGGACCAAACCACTGGCCCAAACGCCCTGCCCGGTCCAATTGCCCCATACTCAAAACGACGTCGTTTTGACGTCGTTTAATCATGACCGTCCATCCCCCCAAATCCAATGGCCACGATTGATTCTCGAATTTAAATAAAACTGTCCGAAAATCATACAAAAAACCCAAAACATAACCCATATTCCTCGTACTCCCTGTAACGCCGGCGTTGCCCCGCCGTCCTCCTCCCATCTCCGCCGTCCTCCGCCCTAGCGCCGCCGGCCGGAAATCGCCGCCGGCGGCGGCGATGCTCCGATGGCCCCCAAAATTTCACACCATACTCTCCTTCACCTCGTCTTTCCAACCCCCACATCCATGGCCCTCGAATCCTAACCCACCTCCTCGAATATCCAATCTAAGTTTTCCGGCCATGACACAACTCCGTCCAAACCACCCCAAATTAACACCCTGATACCCTCTCTTCTTCCTTTATCCAACCCCCATGGTATTCTATCTCGAATCTGTCCGGAGTGTCTCGAATATTGAATTAAAATTTTCCGGTCAAAGTCGAAAGTAACCCAATCGAGCCCGGATTAACACCATAAGACCGCCTGGTCTTCCCCTATCAGATCCCCATGGGCGCTTGGCTCAAATGTGACCGGAACAGTTCGAATACCGATTTCAAGTTTTCCGGCGGAACCCTAGATAAGTTTTTCTTCAACGTTTTCCTTTCTTTGTTTAATTTTTGTCTTTATATGCATGTGTTTTTTCGTGTTCAGTCCAATTTCAACAATTAGGTTTAGTCATCGATTGTTTTCTTGGTTGGTTGTTTTCTTCTTTTAATCAATCTCCTGTTCTTTTCTTTGTTAGTCCCAATACCTTTTAACTATAGTATAGTCATGGTTTGATAATTCTGACTTTTAATGTAGCAATTAGGTTAGTTTCAGTGGCAATGGTGCATAATTCTGATTTGGTTAATTCTAGGAGTTTTAAATTTTCTTTGCTTCATCATCCTTGATTGATTTGGTTCTGTTAAATGTTTAAATGATAGCTTAAGTAATAGAACTTTCTGTTAGTTGATTAGTTTTAGTAATAATAATAATTTGTTCATGATCTAAACTTGTTAGAATTAGGTTCTCTAATTGTTTTTATTAGATGACAATTTGTTAGTTAAATTTCTGTTTGTTTTGTTAGTTTAGTTTTGTTTTTCCTGATTAGAAATATAGGAACCCATTATTTGTTTTGATGTAGCTGATCCTTAATTAGGTTTAGGGGACTGCTGGATTTGGTTAGTAATTTCAGGGGATGCTAAGGGTAGTTTAGGCATGGGAAAAGGGTAGTTTAATCAGATTTGGTAATTGTTGAAGTAAAGTAAGGGTAGAACAGGAATTGTAATGGGTATAGAACCTTCTAGAATGGGTTGTAGTACAGATTTCAACAAAATAGGTGTAGTTACTTGTGTAATAAGTCAGAAAATAAAGGGTAAAAATAGAATTAAAATAGGGACTAATGGGTAAAGTGAAAATCTGAAATTGGACCCTAAGTTTGCCTATAAATAGGCATTCATTTGCCTTGTATAAGAAGTTTTTGGAGCCCTCAAATTCCCCCCAAAAAAATAGTCTCTGCAATCTCAACAGATCTGAGATTGGAGATTCAAAACTCAAAAAAAAAACAACACAAAAACAGTAGAAAAACTCTATAAAAATCCTGTTCTATTGGAGTCCTCTTAGAGTTTAAGTTAGATTTTTAGCTGTAGATCAGATTCCCAGCCAACAGAAGACTAGAAATGGCCTGAATATCTTTAGATTTGCTTTGGTTCGAGTCCAAGGAGTTCTGGTTGGTTTTGAGTATATTTTGGTCCATTCGTGTTTGGTTTTCGTGTGCCTTTGGTGTTCAATCTGTTGCCGTTCGTTCCTGGGTTTGCTGTGTTCATTTTGGAGCTGAAATTGATTTAATTGCTTTGAATCTGGGTTGCTACTCATCACTGCCTCAACTGACTTCCATTTCCTCTTCTTCCTGTTATATTCTGATTTCCAGGTACACAGCTATTACCTTGGCAATTGTAAGTTGAAACTGTGCAGAATGAATGAATGAAGAATTGAAACGTATGCTTTGATTGAGTTCTCTTCCTGATTTATGTATTTGAACATTTAGTCCCCTGATGCTAGGCATATTTCTGTTGGTTTTGTAATAACTGGACTGAATAAAGTCACTACTGCTCAACTCTGACTCGTATTCATTTAAGTGAATTGTTTTGGACTGTTAAATTTGAAATCATGTAGTAGTAATCTAGCATAGCTATGTATGTGCTTTAGTTTAGTATTGTGTTAGCAACAAAAACATAAATCTGAAATGATTTAGATTTACAGTTGATTCTGATATTAGCATGTTATGTCCATGACCATTGTGATTCCAAGTTGAATATACATTTCTAACTATTGCAGTAGCTAGTATAGGGAACTAGTTAGTAACGTTGATAATACGGACAGCCTACTGTAATTGTTCTGTGATCAGACATGAGTGAAACACGGACTAAGTCCACAAAATTGTTCACGCTAACAATTAGGTAACTTAGTAATTCGCCTCTCATCTTTAGTATTGTTTAAAATAACGTGGTCTAATCCTCCATTAGAAATCAAACAATTGCTATCTTGTGCATTTGAATAAAATAATTTGGGATAATTTGGGAAGCAAACTGTTGAACAACTTGTTGGAATGCCAGACTCGGGGGTTCGATCATCCGTTCTTCCTTATGTTGCCTGATTTAATTCGTCTGCTTTGGGCCACCCTCAGGCCCAATTCGTAGCTATTGGAAATATTGTCTAGTGTGCACGGACAATACGGCTTGGCCTCTTTGGACCCAAATCATTTTAAGTTTTTCCTTTTAAAAAAAAAGATAAAATGAGACGAGCCTCGCCGGATAAAATACACAAATTACGGGGCCCTCAATAAATGCTATAAAAATACTTAGACTCCGGGACGAGCCGTTTAGCGAATTTCACGGTTTTCCCCAAAGATGATAACGCGTAGTTGCTTTAGGCGCGTATTTTAATAATATTACTTTCCTAAATTCGGGTGCACA